ATGTATGTATGTATGTATGTATGTAGGTATGTATGTATGTATGTATGTAAGTCCTCTAAACCTAAGATCTTTCTTTGAAATGCGTTAGCAGCCATTTTTATTTCGCTTTTTTTTCCTTCAAGACGTCTTGACACTTGGGCTCATAAATATTTATCTTTTTTGCCTCACCATACCCGAGATACTTTTCATTCTGACGCGACTGTCACTATACCTCACGTTTTCGTGGGACAAGAAACTGTAGAAGATTAAATAACGGAAAATTTGCTAACATGTTGCGAAAATTGTTTTTGATATTTCTTTTTAGAAACTACGTGTAAGGCCTACTAACTGGTTGCAAAGTTTCTCCTCCCAATCACAACACCAGTCGTTTTTGAGTTCATGTGGTCAGCGGACATTCCCAGTAATGCATGGTGCATTGAACATCAATCTGGCCAGTTCCATGATGACCATAACAGTTACAAGTGTAATGCAACTGACCATTAGCTGGGTTTATTTCGGACGTTAGCAGATAAAGCTGTGCACGGTTTGTTGTACATGAGACACCAACAATCTTTTTACCCTGAAAAGAAAAACAAACTTGAACTATATGACTAAAAATGAAGAGAGTAAAACATTTAATTGCTCCCGTTCATTGATTTATGATCTATCTCTTATTATGGAGACTTAATTCCAGGATGCCAATGTTAACATATATATCTAACTTCTGATACAAAGGACCAACATACATGAAGTACAATATTAGCCATTGGCGTATCACTTTTTAGGATAATTTCACAGTTGAGCAAAGAGTTTCCAGCAATCTGATTGGTCGAGCGGTTTCTTATAGGACGCTACATAAACCGCTCCGCGCGGTTTATATAGAATTTTAAACTAAAATGTTAATAAATGTTACTAAAATGTTATGATCTTAGAGATTTCTCTGTTGTTGAGCACTGAAATTATACTAAATCAATTATTCGCCTCAGGTTCGGTGAATATTGTCGAATAATCCCCTCGACTTCGTCTCGGGGATTATTCGACGATATTCACCGAACCTGAGGCGAATAATTGTTAAATATAACTTGAAAGAGCCAGGTTTTTATCTGAGGTAAGATAATGCAAAACAGTCTGACAACCATCCCTGCAATTCAGGTAATTACAAAGAGAATATAGTCGTGAATCTGTTCTTTTGAGTAGACTTACACTTGGTTCACCCAGGATCACTTTAACTGGGTTTGGTAAATTGTTGCTGATGATTTGATCTTGGGTTGCAGTCAAATCCTCAGTCTTGTGTTCACACTGGGAGAAGTCACCTGCTCCTTTGGCACCCTGTGGTCCTGGTGGTCCTTGTGATCCATTAAAACCCTGCGGGCCTATCATCCCCTGGGGACCCTGTGTACCATTGAATCCCCGAGGTCCGGCTAATCCAATCGGTCCTTGAGAGCCGTTGAAACCGCGTGGTCCAATAGGGCCCTGGAGCTTTCTCACATTCTCTATCTGCCACATTGTTAATAAGCAACAATTTATGTACCTGTTTTAGCTAATCTAAACATAAAGAGGCATTACTGCGCATACTGTACAAATGACGGCTACAAACTTTCTGATGACTTATACCCTTCAGCTACATTTTCCTTCCCGGAGTCAATTTTTATTTGTGTATGAAAGCAACTCTCATTCTGGATCCCATATTTGCCGGCACTTGCGAACTTGCTTCCCTTCTTTCCCGCCTTAAAAAATTTGCACAAATTTCCCGACCCTATACAACCTTGAAGAACACCGTCAGGGTATAAAAAATTTCCGATCAGACCTTTTAAACGCTATCTCAGCCCAAGAAACCGAAGAAACTTCTTCAAGACGAAGCCCCCGTTTCATCATCTCGGCTTAAATGCCAGTTGAAAACTAATTATCGTCAGGAGTCTTGCAACCAAATGCATTACAACTATGCTTGTTTAGTTATCTGGAAATTTCGCTGAGTACCTTGTTAGAGAGAGTGGTGTTAAATTCTGTCAAAAGTTTCCTCAGCCTCACATCTTCTCGGTTTAGTCTATCTGTCGCGTTTTTCAACTGTTTGAAAAAAAAAAATGCGACAAATCCATCATTGTCCGTTGAACATGTTTTGGCAAGTCGTCATGTTTAAAACGGGGTACAGCTATGTTTCACCCATCCCATTTTAACGATGACATTTTGCCGAGGTCATCAGACCTGATTTTTTAGAATTCCTATCTATGCAGCAGAATGGTTTTCCGGCTTTGATTATTTGCCGATGCTGAAATGTAGCTTTAGACAGAAAGGGAAAATAAGGAGTCTTTGTCCTAGTTCAATATAAAAACTGATCACTCTTCAAATTACAAATACTCGCTTTTTGTGCGACAAGTTCATTTCATTTGTCAATATACTGTTTAATAGGAGTTTTTCTCACTGTAATTAATACGATCTCAGTGAGCTGTTAATTTATAATCAACTCTCATCACTTACGTCCCATAAGATTAATAAGTTTTTTTTTTCCTGTCTTGAAACTTCAATCGGGCAAATAACATAAATCGGACGGGGTGGATCAGCTGAATTTGTCAAGTAAAGCTCAAACGGCAAATTCGAATACGATTTACACGAAGAGGACGCGTGGATTTCAAAGCTCACTGAAAGCAATGACTTCGTCATTCAAACTTTTTTAAGATCTATATATTATTTTGTTGTACTTACCAATATCAGAGAGCTTTCGCTTTCGGTATGGTTCTTAAATTTGTTTAAAATCTCCTCTGTTTGGTTGGCCACCGTATAAGCCCTAACTCCAGATAAACTGATTTGGTTCATCTAAGGAACGATTGGCATAATAATCACATGAAGTGGATAGTTTCCGGATTTTTGATTGCTTTTGTTTTTGTTTTTATTTTATAATGCAAAATTTGCGACATGAGCATTTTCTCAGGAAGTAGTTAAAGTCCTGGGCTGGGGGCAACTCTATCACACTACACATGGCGATAAAATGCGGGAACAAAATATAAAATTATGAATTTGTTTCCAGGGCTATCCCTCCCTGGAGTTGTTTTATTATCAGTGTACGTACGAGGATACATTAAATTTACATCATATTTCACCAAATCGGCAAGTTTTTTTTAATTTCACTAAACTTAAGGGACGAAAGGACAGTGTTGTTTAATAGCGCTTCATTCCATTCTGAATATAAAGCGATCATTGTCCTTTTTTTACCATTAACTTGAAAGTAGAGTAAGGTTTCATTTATGTCATCCCACCTCGTCTGATAATGTCTTGTTCATATCATTCACAAGGGCGTTCAGCGAATTAATGTCTAGTTGAAGCAGTCTCGTAGCTGTCTGGTTGAACTGGAAAACGAATAAGGAATCAACATTGTATATTGAGAGGAGGTTATCATGGTAGCAGTTGAGCACTTGGAATTTATCGCACCAATCGGCCAATGTCAATAAGAGATTTACGAGAATTCGTAAGAATTGTGTTAAACGCGAGGCCTTCTCTTGTTGAAAAGATGACGATAGTTATAATTACTAGGTACTTTGTTGATTTATTTTGAGGCATTGGTAGAAAGGTCAAAATCGGACAATGGATGTCGAGAATAATTTCAAGGGAATACGGTTTCTGCACCAGGTACCTGTGCGATGTGTTATGCAAGCACAGGGAATAATGAACATTAGACTTGAATTTCAATCCTAGTCAGGAATTAATGGAAACTTTCTCTATAGTCCATTTTCAACTCAAAACATGGAAAACCGCTTACCGTTACAGTAAGCTCAGTTTGAGATTTGCTAGTTATGTTAGCTGAGACGACCTGTTGCAACCAAAGATAGAAAAAGGGATTCCTTTTAACACAGTTAGAACATGTAAACCATGGGGGTAGAAAGGAGGATTGCATTTCGAGTCACTTTTTCGCGCCAATTTTGCCTGTGGTCAAAACAAATCTTCCTGCCTTGTTTGATTATTTATCTCTAGGACTTCACACTGATATGGTTTTAAATAGACCCTCTGTTCGGGGTAGCATTTCCGAAGAATATTCAGAAATGAACAAGTAATGTAGAAACGAATTGCCTCTCATTTCTGACTTATATGTGTGCGTTTCGTTCGTTCTTGGCTCGTTCAAGGAAATCTCTGTGGGTATGCATCAGCTTCTACCTCCACATCAGAGGTATAGTATAACTTTCCCAAGCATTTAACTGAAGTCATCTTACCTGTTCGCTCAGTAGTTTTGACAACTTTTGCTCCAGAGACGTCACCCTGTCTGAAATCTGAATGTCCCCATGTGCCAAAGGCGGTGCTATATAGAGAAAACAGTAGATATAATGTGAAACGCTTCTTAGTGTTCACACAACGGAATAACGATGTACCACCACTCTTCAAGTGTAGTGAAGCAATTTTATCGTTACTTCTGTTGGGATTAGCACATTCATAAAGAACGTATTTAGAACAGAAGAAGTATTCGCGAAGATTGAAAATACTGTTATTTTGTCATCGAGTAAACATATTTTGGTTAAAAGAACTTCAAGACTTGTTTTTCGTTGCCGTCTAATAAGAGAAAATATAGGCGTGCGGAAAGGGTGTGTTGCTTGTTGTTTGCATGGTGGTATTTGCTTTGGATACTCTAGAAATTCCCAAAAGATCGTTCATTAGATGTAAAAGAAACTTTGAAGTTGCTCGAAAGAGCTGGGAAATTTCATCCATATCAAACTTACCTTTAACATCTGCCTCTACAGACTTTCGTGACATGTCACGCACTCCGGGGTCAGTCAAAAACACACTAATTTTCGAACATTTTCTTCGTTTTCGCGTATTCCATTTGAATCGCTATCTTTCTTACTTTCAGTTTATAAAA